GACCACTTCGAATTATTTTATTCGATTAAGCTAACGTGCCTATCACGTTGAGGTTGGCTACGCCGGGATTCGTTTTCAGCAAGCAGATATCCACACAAGTGGACCTTGTTGGAGCATACGTAATCCTAAAATGTAGCATCGTACTACAGATGGCGTTTACTGCTGCGCCATTTGTAGTATTTTCTAAAATGTTATTAGATAAATTAACTACTTATGTAAGTAATCGCATTTTTAAAAAGAATTGTTTCATCGTTGTTACCACCACAGACAGTTTTCACACTAAAATGAATTGCTTACCATTAATGTCACCCTTATAAAAATATTAATATGGATGGACTGCGACATATGCATTATTTATGAATAGAGTCGGGAAGCATGAATACTGTGCTGGATGAAATCGTTACCATTTCGTATTGAGATTAATTGTTTGCCTCATTTATTTATTTCTTTTTCAGGCACTATGCAGTAGTGAGTCGTGCGAAATGCAGATCTCGGAGGTGGGAATACCGGGACCTGAGCCGGGGGCGGAACCATGTCGCTTTCCAAAACTCGAGGAATGCGCCCATTTCCACTACGAGAGGGTGCAACTTCCTCGTCTGGAGGTCACGTTACAAGACAGCTTGGACAAATCCCTCCACTCCCAGCACAGTAAGTTTGCGATTAAACAAAGCAGGATAAAACAAAACAAAACAACACGATTATACTTGAATAAGTTTATTAAAAGCGTTAGTTGTTGTAAACGGAATTAAATTTAGATTCAGTATTAATTGAAATTTATTAGTTAATTGTCTTAATGCCCTACATTCTACAATTTACACTTCAGGATGTGTCTATCTTTAATTTCACAATTAACTTCTTTCTCACTTATTTTATTTCCTTATACTAAATTCTGTTAGTTCAATTGCACCAACTTGCTAAAAGTTATCATCAATTTGAAAGTGTTTAATTCACTACGCCTTGGGACCCTAATTTGTCGTTTTGGTGATATTATAACGAAAGTTTAGCTGTTTCAGTGCCTTTTTATTAATTATTATGGCATTTCTGATCAAAATATTTGCACAGTATCTTCATAGGTGCGAGTGAGATTTGGCCCTTTCGTGTAGTTCATTTGCATCAAATTCATATAGGTTATTGGTGCTCCGTTTGTTGGGATTTTGACGTCATTAACAATAAAAGTATATAATAAACAGCAATTTATTTAGATTTTTCACCAGTACTTAGTACTTAAATACTTACAGGTGTCGATCTTGCTGTTTTTGACAAATATGTTTCATTTTACGTGGATTTAGCGTGTAGGTAAAACGTAATCTGACGCCACATTCCTGGCCCACGTGTATACGTCCATTTGAGGAAACAAAACAAAAAACAATTAAATAAGCATTCATATTGCTGTCAACACACAAGTTGCGACAAAAGAATGTAATGCAGCCTGCCGCCGGCTGTTATTCAATTAATTATTAAAATCGTTCTTTGCCTCATTTGCACTCTTATCCGGCGTTAATGTGGGAAAAGCACGACCAGGTGTTCGCAGAAGGCTGTAATTACATGTAGCGGTTGTTAAGAAACAAAATGGATTTGTTTACTAAATGGCGATTATATTTTCAAGATTTACATGAAAATTATTTCGTTTATCCAACGTGTTTGGTGTTACTGTAATTATATTTCATAAATAAAATGGTTAACATCTCATGTTTATTGCATTTCTCTTTTTTATACGCTTACATTAGCATATTTAACAATAAAAGTGGTACAAATTATTGGCAAATGGGTGTGGTATATGTTGAAATTCTTGAATGATATATTAACATTCTTTTTGATGATTAAAATTGATATTTGTGCATGTAATGTGTATTGGTAACAAAAATTAAGGTTAGGGTTAAACAAAAATGAAAAAAAAAAACGTAAAATCAACCGAACACAACAACAAATGGCAACCTTGCAGTAATGTTGCTAAGCATTTCAATAATGCAAAATAATCGCTAGTTTTCAATTTCACTCAGTGCAAATTTTTATTTCGAGGAATCACTCTAGCATTGGAGTATTTTTGCCTGTAATAATGTCATTAGATCAATTGCACCGGATTCTGTTTTGTATTAAGTGCAAAATTTTTGGTATATTTGAACTACTTAAGCTTACATGTAAAGGGTTTGGGTAATGGCGTCACAATCCCTTTAAAAATTGATCAAATTTCAATGTTATTTTTATCCCGCATTCTAATTGTTTACTGTATCATCTGTAATCTTTTTAATTAGTAATGTACTTTTATATAAATAAAGAATAAAATAGTCCTTTAAATGATCGGTAAGTTCTTCTGCAATTAATATTAATTTGCAAATCCACTTTTTATTGTTGTTATCTGCAAAATTGTTCGTACAATGAAATAATAAAAAGTGTTTACATATTCTCTAGAAGGGTCAAGATGTGTCTATATAACAACCATACGATAAGGAAGTGTTTACGTAACTGCAGAAAGGGCAAGGTAGTGTCTACATAATCACCTCAAGGATAAAATCGTAAAATATATATTCACAATAAAAAATAAGATGCGTATTTAATTGATAAAATTGACGTTTAAAAAGAAATAAATGTGTCTCCTACTTAGTCCATTACCCAATCAAACGCTTAATTAAAAAAGTATTCTGTTATTTTAAACTAACTTTATCCAACCTGAAAGGGTGTTTTGTTGACTATCAGTTTCGGTTGCGTAGCTGTTTGGGTTTATTATTGTTATTTTTTTTTTAAGCAAACGAAGAGGACGACTCGGAATATTACATGGTTCAGGTGAGTTCAGCGGAAGAGTGCTGGCTGGTGCAACGAAATTATGAAAACTTCCGGATGCTAGACGCTCAAATCCACCAGTGCATCTTCGACAGAAAAATATCCCAGTTGCCCGATCTTTCTAGTCACGATGAAAACGAAGAAAACAACGCCGTAAGTTACTTATCTTCATTACGTTTTATAACACGTTTTATATTTACAACAACCCATTAAGAAAATTTGGTGATGTAACGTTACTGATACTCATGTGTCGATAATTATTTCATAAGTGACCAATAAATACTTGAATGTTGTGATACTATTGTTATAGGACTTATTGAAAAACTATTTGGAACGGTTCTCTGTTATCGCCGACAATTCGGTCAATTGCGGTCCGGTGCTCAATTGGTTTCAAATGGACAATAAAGGTCACAGACTGCTGGTGCCCAGTGAAGAGAGTCGTTCCATCAATACTCCAGCCGTTGCGGCGGCTTACAGTGTCCGCAGATATGTTTCTCAGGTAAATTGTTGGAATTGTCACACAGATTAAATGAATGAGTTAGTTTTGAGGGTCATGGTATTTGCTGAATTTTGGGAATTTGGTGTTTGTCAAGTATTGTCGTTAATACAGGAAAATTAAAGTAATAGTTCGACACGTTTTTTGTATTAAAACAAAATAAAATAATACAACGCATCGGCAATCGGAAGCAAAAAATTATTGTGCTTTTCCATGACCCCACGTTGGTATCGAAAGTTAATTGAGCGTTTAAGACAGTAGGCGCAGCGGAAAAGAAAAGGTTAGAAGCCTTCGAAATGTGGTGTTATAGACGAATGATGAGGATAACGTGGATAGAAAAGGTTAGAAATGAAGAGGCATTAGAAAGAATAGGAGAACAGAGGACTCTATGGAAGTCAATAAAAAAATAGGCGAATCAGAGACATATTAGAGGCAGAAGCAGGAGTTAGGAGGGGTAGAGGTTGACCTAGGTTAGATTACTGTTCGCAAATAATTAAGGATGTGGGTAGTTCTAGTTTTAGGGAAATGCGAAGATTAGCTCAGGATAGGAAAAAGTGGAGGTACGTGTCCAACCAGTCTTAGAACTGACGACCTTATGGTGATTATGATAGCTCTTCAGCATCTCCAACAGTAAATACGTGGGATACAACATTGAAGCAGGACGTTCCGATTGACTCAAGAAAAATTCAGTTTTGAATTATGTCTTTCTCTGTTTACCAAAAATTTTGCGATTTGGCGTCTTGCTCGTACAAGCCATCCATATAGTTTAGATTAAAAGAATCGAATAAATGTGCAAAAAAATGACCACGCAAAGCTGGTCGGCACCATCTACTAAGTAATGGTGAGTTGTGTAACACAACACCATTATGGTAATTTCGAATATTTGTACATTCAGGTAGGCAGACACTTGTATACAAATGGTCATATGAAGGTAGGCAGCGTGATAGAATTTCCTTGACGTTTTGGGTTTGACGGTTTCCGTGAATGATACTGTTTACATAATATCACGTTGTACACATACCACTTGAATTACCGTTCGAGCTTCTGTGTTTGTTTACTTAATTACATGTGCGAGTTGACACCGTTCTGCGGCAATTAATATTAACAACGGCGGAAAGATAACAGTCGCAAGGCACGCTCCAAGTACTACAGTGCCATCTGGATAGTATTGAATAAAAATGTAGAGCAACACACATGTATTTATTAAAACAACCTGCGCTTTTAGGAGATGTTTGTTTTTGTACCACTTTACGGGAGGTCCAAACGCTTTTCAATTTATTATTTCTGGTTGGCTGTAACAGATTGTTTCTGGGCTGAATCGCTCGTTAAATTGCCAAGACTCCTTCTTTTTTTTTTTGAAGTTCTTGCGGAAGTTATTTGATAAAAGACAAAGTTGGAAAGATCTTCAAGTTTCTCTTCATTGTAATATTAAGAAAATGACTTATGAGCAGCTTGTAAACTCAAAATTAATATTCGCGAATATTTGTCCATTTTTTACATCCTTGATTTCTTTTCTTCATCAGGCGAGAGACGAACTGAACTTAGAAGTCGGTGACATGATATCGGTAATCGATATGACTAGTCCTGCTGAGTCGGTGTGGTGGAGAGGCAAGCGAGGCTTCCAAGTGGGCTTTTTTCCTCAACACTGCGTCCACATTATTGGAGACAAAGTGCCCAGGAATATGCCCGTTCCACCACCTGTTGTTGGGTAAGAAATAACTCTGTTTCAATATTAGGAGATTCCATAATAGATCGACTCCTCATTCATCAATTGTCGCGATGGTTTATTGAAAGTTTCAAAATCAAGAAAGTGCACATCCGAAAAAAGAAAAAATTAATTTCACAATAACTATTCCACCATAGAGTCACCTCTCAGATGAAAGAAATCATCATATCTTCCACCTGGAAGAAATCATCACATCTTCCACCTGGAAGAAATCATCACTTGTTCCATCGGAGGAAGCTACTGTGTGGTGAAAAAGTTATTCCGAATTTCAGTTCCATTTTTTCAACCAAATTTGGTAATTGTCCAGAATTGGGGCTCCAGATCGAAATCCCTCCAAAATTTTTTTCATCGATTTCCGGTCGTTTTACATAATAGAATTAGGTCTTAGAAGATGGAGGAGACAGTTTCTTATGACTTCATAAATAAAAAAAAAATTTTGACGCATTGTTTGGATAGGTAGCTTTATGACAGATTGTATTTTATTCAATGCCTCTGCCAGCCGGAGGCGAGCTGATATGTGAGGTTATTTTATTCACAGAAAGTATCAGTTTTATACATTTCCTAGTACAATATCGGAATTTCATACAATTTAAGAACAAAGGCTTTCACGGCCGGAATCCATAGTAGAATGCAGATTCGGGCTATAGGGCCGTGGTCTAAGTGAACGATTCCGTCCAGACGTTTCGTCAGCTACTGCGGCTGACATCTTCAGTGGTAGTACTGACAGTCGCTGTCGAGACATCGAGATACAATCTACGTTCACGTTGTCAACGCAGCACTACCACTGAAGATGTCAGCCGCAGTAGCTGACGAAACGTCTGGACGGAATCGTTCACTTAGACCACGGCCCTATAGCCCGAATCTGCATTCTTTCATACAATTCTTAGAATTGGGGCTCCAGACCAAACTCGCTCCAAAAATTATTCCATCGATTTCTGGTCATTTCTGAGGGTTCTGTGATTATATTTGAAGCGGCGGAGACACATTTGTTTTTATTATAGCATGCATCATAGGGTATATGCTGTATGTATATTTATTTCTTCTTTTAATATTAATAAAAGAATTTTATGCAGTGACAATCGTGAGATAAGGAGATTAAAAGCTTATTTAACTTTTAACAGCCCCCCCTTCGCCTCTGATCGCTTATCCCCTCTCTTTCCATACTTACAGTTTAGAACTGTGATTTGTATTTTGAAAAATTGTTCAAAATTTTTTTTTATTTATGAAGTCTATATCTAATTCTATTATGTAAAATGACCGGGAAATCGTCGAAAAAATGTTTGGAGCGGTTTTGATCTGGAGCCTCAATTCTGCATAATTACTCAAAATTTTAACTCACAACTTCTTTCTCGACACTTTAGGGAGTACTTCTGGTAGATTCAGAAATCGGTCTTCATCAGAAGAAGCCCTAAAGAAATTAGTAACCGTAGGCGTTAGTGAAACGTCAAAGGGAACAATAACATTCCAATGTGACGCGTTCGTTACAATTTTTTTGAGAAGATTTGTTTTAACATCCTGATAATTTTTTTGTTTCCGCTTTTTCATAGGTCTTTAGCAATAAGTCCAGTGAAACCGGTGCTCAGAAAACATGGCAAACTAATCGCGTTCTTCCGCAGCTTTATCCTTAATCGTCCTTCGCGACGCAGGCTCAAACAGTCGGGTATACTGAAGGAACGCGTTTTCGGCTGTGATCTCGGCGAGCATCTCCTCAATTCCGGTCACGACATACCGATGGTGCTCAAGTGTTGTGCTGAATTCATCGAGAAGCACGGCATCGTCGATGGCATTTACAGGTTAGTTACTGATTTTGATTCGTTGACCATCAGATTTGCCAAACTTTTCTACAAGAATTTCTCTTTCTTCTATCCAAAGCTAGATGGAGCCGAATGCTCCATTTATTTCGTACATTATTGTACTTTAACTGTATGGTAAATTTTATTTTTATACTTTTGTGTAGTGCTTTATTTGTACTTTTTATATGCAACATCAACTTGAAATCGACCACTTTTCGATTTTGAATTACTACAAATTTTGTTGCTGTTGTCACCCCCCGCCGGGAATCGAGCCCGGGACCTTTGGCTTCACGCACCAATGCTCTTACCAACTAACCTACGAGAGATGACAATAGCAACCACGATAAACCTGGCCTACTAGGTTAACGATTCGTCAATTTTTTTTATTATTAACGTAATTATAGGTATATAATCATATATATATGAGACTTAAACATTGTTTTATTAATTACTAATAGTGGTCAATGTTAATATGTAACATCAACTTAAAATCACTTTTCTATCGCTTTTTAGCGCGAGTGCCCATCCAGTATTTCAGAGATGGACCACCTACTTCGGTTTCCTCCCCAACACTCCCTTCTGCCCACACTCTTAACCCATTTCCCATCTCAACCCTATCCCCAATCCCCAGCTTTTTCACTTTCTTCCCGGGGATGATTAATCCACAGGGTTTATCTTCCCGCTCGAGGAGGGGTTTTAGTCGGTAAGAATCCGACACTACCTCCCTTCAGGGGGTGTCTTTTCCCCTCCTCGAGCATAATCTAAACAAAAAAAAAAGAAATCACTTTTCTATTTTGAACCACTACACCATCACCACCAGGTTTGTTGCGGTTGCTGTTGTCATCCCTTGTAGCTTAGTTGGTCAGAGCATTGGTGCGTAAAGCCAAAGGTCCCGGGTTCGATTCCCGGCGGTGGGTGACAACAGTAACAAAAATGTTTTCCACATTAATTTCAGGAAATTTGTAGTGGTTCAAAATCGAAAAGTGATTTCTAATAAAACAGTGTATTTTTTTTTTTGTTGTGGTGGTGTGCTAGATGCTCATGGTTTGGATATTTCTCGTTTCAGGTTATCTGGAATAACCTCGAACATCCAGAAGTTAAGAAATACGTTTGACGAGGACAGAATACCGGACCTTTACACCGAAGACATCCTCCAGGACATCCATTCTGTCGCTTCGCTGCTGAAAATGTATTTCAGGTAAGCACTTTTCTTATTTCTCGTCCCATTTGGATTTGCGATGTCGAGAAGGAAATGATTGTTTTGGGTAGGACGCAATATTGTGCAATAATTTTACACAAGGGTACCTAACAGAGTCGGACTGAAGATTTTAGTCCGGGGTGCGATGTAACCAAATGGCTTGGTTTAGAAGGGAAAGTGCTCAAATTTTAACAGCACTCGTTTTTAAATAAATTTAAAAAGTTAGGAGGAAATTTTGCGTTTGTCTTTGCCTCGGTTTTTGCTCTTTTTTTTTTAATTATTAAGTTTTTTTTAATTTCTCTTTTTTTTCACATTTTTTGAGCCCAGGGTGCAAGGGTACAAATGCAACCCCGGACCAGTCGGGCCCTGGTACCTAATGATAATAAAATTCTACGTCTTGTCTTGTCTTGTCAGATTGTGGCTTCATCAAGCTTGAAAGATGATGAGATATTTACTGAATGCATTGGCGCTCCGTGAAAATTAATTTCAGTTGCTTTCTTCAAGTATAGTTGAGTACAAGCGATTATTATTTAAAAAGAAATTTATCACAAAATCATCAAATATTATTATTATTATTGCTTTTCTCTGTTTTACTGAATAAGCCCTACTGAGAAGAATCAAGAGGGTCATCAAGTTGTCCTTGGCAGGTAGGTGAGCAGTAAGAGAGGGCACATCCCATTTGAGTTTTTGTTTATAAGTTTTTGGTTCTTGCAGTTTCGGAAGACGAATATAAATGGCAATTAATTTTGTTGCTGTACGGAATTTATTCAAAACGTATCCCGAATTTTGGGGGTTTTCTAAAATTATTTATCCATGAATATATGTTTTGCCCCCTTCAAAGTAATCCCCACCAGATATTATACACTTGTGCCAACGTTTTTTCCAATCCCCGAAGCATTTAAAAAAATCATTTTTTGTGGTCTTGTTTAGCTCCTCCTTCGATGCCTCTTTATCTCCTCAATCGTAGCGTAGCATCGTCCCTTTTATAGGCCTCTTCAGTTTCGGGAACATGAAAAAGTCGCAGGGGGACAGATGTCGGGAATACGGTGGCTGCGGCATTATTACTGTGTTGTTTTTGGTAAAAAATTTGCACAAGCAACAATGTGTAAGCAGGGGCGTTATCATGGTCCAAAGGCCAAGTTTTGTTCTTTCACAAATCCGGGTGTTTCTGGCGGATCGCTTCGCGCAAATTGCGCATAACTTGCAGATAATATTCCTTATTGACCATTCTACCCTGTGGCAAGAACTCATGATGCACCACGTCCCTCCAATCGAAGAAAAGTTTAAGCAAATCCTTCACATTCGACGTAATTTGGCGTGCTTTTTTCGGTCTTGGCTCGTGCGGCAGCTTCTATTTGGAGGATTGAGCTTTGATTTCCACGTCATAACCATAAACCCATGATTCGCCATCAGTTATGACCCTCTGGAGCAAATTTGAGTTGTCGCGGACAGTCCAACAGCTTCTTAGCCATGTTAATATTATGCTGCTTTTAGTCGAAATTTTTACTAATTACTAATTTCGCGGCTACTTGTCTCATACGCAAACCATTGGTAAAAATCGAATGGCAGGAGCTAATCCATATGTTTAGGTTCTCAGCAACTTCTCTGATGGTGATTTGAACATTGGCCAATACTATTTTCTTCACTTCATCAATGTTTTCCTCTGTTGTTGACGTGTTCCAAAATTAACTGAACACTCAACTTGGCCGAACTTGTCGGTATAAGTGAAAGACATAAGTACCAACATAACACCACAAAAAAACAGAAAATTGAATATACATAACCCGCGGAAATTCAAAATTCGTCATACTTTTTAAACAGATCTCGTATAACATACATTGCACCTATTAGCCCGTAGTATTCTTTCGAAGAGTATATACTTCTTGAAACTGCCCTTTGCATATTGGTATCATTTACGGGAAGCAATCCCAGAAAATGTAGATTCCCCTTCTTTTACGTAACGTCTTATTTTTCAATACTTTTACTGTTGACTGCACAATTATTTTTATAATACTTTTCACATTGTAGTTTGCACATGATTTGTCAGATTTTTAGGTTATGGGCGATTAAATCCCCTGGCTTGCTGGTAGACTTGTGTAGATATAACATGACCGCGTCTGTTATATCTTTTTAGTAATATGAGACACTATGTCATTCCAGACTATGGCATAGTTTTTTCACCGGTTATAATTTTATTTTATTATTTTTTGATTAATACAATGTGCATGGACAGTGGGCGCTGCGGAAAAGAAAAGATTAGAAGCCTTCGAAATGTGGTGTTATAGGCGAATGATGAGGATACCGTCTATAGAGAAGGTTAGAAATGAAGAGGCATTAGAAAGAGAAAGAGAACACAGAACTCTATGGAAGTCAATAAAAAATAGGCGAGATAGGTTGATAGGACACCTTATCAGGCATGAAAGTCTAGTCAGAGACATATTAGAGACAGAAACGGGAGTTAGGATTGGTAGAGGTAGACCTACATTAGATTACTGTTCGCAGATAGTTAAGGATGTGGGTTGTTCTAGTTTTAGGGAAATGCAAAGTTTAGCTCAGGATAGGAAAGAGTGGAGGTGAGTCTCCAACCAGTCTTAGGGCTGACGACCTTATGATTATGACAATGTACTCGAGATTTGTTAATTTGGAAATTAGTAAGTGACTGTTAAAGGTGTATACTTGAAGCATGGCATTGCGTTGGTGTGAAATGTGGACGGTGGGCAATGCAGAAAAGAAGCTGTTAGTTGTTGAAATGTAGTGTTGTTGAAAATACTGTGGATGAGGGGGTATAAGAAACGATAGAACTGAGGTCGTTATGGAGATCAATAAGAAATAGACGATTTAGGTTAGTAAAACACGTTCTCAGGAACAGTTAGAGACATATAAGAAGTGGAAACAGAAGTTAGAGGGGTAGATGTAGACCTAGACTAGATTACTGCTTGTAAATAGTTAAAAATGCAGGTTGCTTGAGTTTTTGAAAAAATGCGAAGAAGTTGAGTTGCCTGTTCAGTCAGTTTTTAGACTGAAGACCCAATGATGATGATGGATGTAATGTAGAAACATAAACATAGAGAGTATTTTTGTTGTTCAATAATTTTCTCGAAATATTAAGTATCTGTACAGGGATTTATTAAGTTATCCGTGCATTACCTACATCCCTGTTAAATTACATGATTTACTTATTGAATTTTTGGTAGAGCTTTTGGTAGAGCTTTCGTCCGTCACTCCTTGTTCACAAGAGCAAGACTGTGCGCTTTCGTTCCAAGTGTAAGTGCCATCTTCGTCTTGGCACAAGGTGATCTCAAGATACACGCAGTCGGTGTCGGTAGCTTGAAAACGAAAAATTGGTGGAGGTTTTTCTCCAATTTTAGGCGAACTTACTTGCTGAGACTGAAGATCTTGTTGTGCTGTTTCTTTTTCTTGTATTTCATCTTCTTCTTTTTTTGTGTCATCAGCACTCGAATCTCGACGATTACAGTAATTTCGCTTTTGCGTGTCATCTTTCTCTTGTTGACTTTGGCTTATGTCATCTGATTTCTGGGTGTCTTTCGATTCATCCTTTTCTTCGATAGGTTCAGTGACGGCTTTCGAATTCGCCATCAGTTCTTCTCGGTTTAGACGGAATGCCTCCACGGTGAGTAAGGTGAATTTGTTATCAAAAAAGGCGAACAACTCTTGGTCAGTTATTTCATCGTCACTGGTGTCGCTTTGCTGTTGCCGTTGCTGTTGCTGTTGCTGTTGCTGTTGATTTGAGCTAGTGCTACATTTGCGTGGTGGTCGTTTCTTCTTGTCGCAAGTAGTCCTCGTGTAGGGTTTACAATAATTTTCCATTTTTTTTTGTTTTGGGCGAACTACCCTATTTTCATTTTAGTAATTTTTGTCCAATATGAAATTATATAACCTAGAATATGTCATTTAACGACAAATTTTTTTTGACCACTGTCAACGGTTGGTATAATAGTACATTACGTATCGAGGGAAGAAACAAGGTTATTCCAGGCTGTATGTGAATTGGCATTTCTTCTCTATTTCATAGACACAAAACGAGCATTCCGCGCTAACATGACAAAAAAAATATTTTGTCTGCAACATGCAGTCTGAGGCAACCCTATTTCTTCCCGAGGTTCGTATACTATTTTTTGTCATGTTAGCGCGGAAAGCTCGCGTGCTATGAAATAGGGAAGAAATGACGTCTTTTCAGCCGTGTTTTAGTCGGAAGGTAATAAAATTAGTCTTTTGAGCGCATGGGCATGCGCAGAAATCAGTTGTTCAATAACAGTGTCTTTCTAACCTCTAAATCATTTACTCTTATTTCACAAACTATCAATTTAATAACGAGCATTCCGCATAAACATGACAAAAAATAGTATACGTACCTCGGGAAGAAATAGGGTTATCTCAGACTGCATGTTTGCCACCCGAGCCGAAGCACATGCAGTCTGAAATAACCCTGTTTCTTCCCTCGATACGTACCTAATGTACTATTTTAAGATAAAGGATGTTAAAAATACCAAAAAAAAAATGAAAAAGTATCTACATAGTTAAGAATATTTTATTTATATACCTACTTGTACATGACATACCTAAATGTAACAAAAAAGTATTTAATTTTTATCTACAATATATTTTGTATCATAAAATTCTTCATCTTCTTGTAATTACGGTTTATGTAAATGGTAATAACAAACATTAATAAACCTAGGGGGTAGTTTCAATTTTATTTAGTAGGTACTTATTTCGGTATTCCCGCGTCAGAAAATGATGCCTGTTAAAGATGCTGTTGATGGTACTTGTTCAGTTTTCAATGGTGTGGTACAGTTTGAAATTTCCGAATTTACAACTTCTAATTGTTATTGTATTTGAACTCGTGCGCGTTGTTGGTAAATCATTTGGTGAATCATTGTTTAATGTTGTAGCATAACTCTAACCTTTTTTAATTGTGTTATTGACCTTAAGAATATGTCATTGATGTGACTTGCGTATTGTAAAATTGTGGTTATTTTCGACTTTATAAATGATGACAGGGCACTGATATTCTGGCATAGACGTTGCTATAGGTAGAACATTCTCAAGGTCAATAGTTGTAGCACTGATTTGAAGTGTGTCTAGCAATACTGATGCTGAAGTGGCAGTTTCGACCATTAGCGATATATTTTGGTTTACGTTCTCTTTTGCTTTATCTTTGGAAGTTTCTACACTATTTTGGTTGGAATTTGGCACCACTAATTTTGGAGAAGCATTTTCAGTCGTCAGTAACATATCTTGACTTATACCTTCTGATTCTGTTGTTCTTAAACCTTTATCGGTACCTATAATAGTATTTTGAGTGGTGCCTGTCACAGCTAATAATGATGGAACATCTTCAGTCTCCCATGTCTTTCTGTTACTTGAATCTTCTAATACCACAGTTGTTACTAAACCACTGTCAGTGATTATGGTATTATTTTGAATGGTATCGGACGTCATTAAGGGTTGAGCACTTTCGGTCGTTGTGGTTGTTTCCGGGCTGGTACTGTTTTGGATGGTGTTTGATACCATTGATGTTGGTGTAGCATTTTCAAAAATATTTAACGTTGATTGTTTTATATTTTCTGATTCTGCACTCTCTAATGTTATATCAGTAACTGTATTGGTAGCTTGAGTACTGTGACTTAATTCTATTAAATCTATTAATGTTTCTAAACGAATATCATTGATAGCGGTACTAGTTTGGGTAGCGCTCGCCAGAATTGTTGTTGGTAGAATATTTTCAGTATTAATAGTACTAACACTAGTTTCAGTTGATGTTGATAGATTGTTTGTGGTTAAGGTTGTTTCAGTTCCTTCTCTATCTGGAAAAGAATTTTGGATTTCTACAGATTTTGTCGTATAATTTGGAAGATGGTCAGATGTGGTACTCACGTTATCATCTGGTAAACTATCGCTCTCCATTGTTTCTATGTTTCCATCTGTTTGTGGGTGATGGTTTTTTAATGTGTTTTCTTTAACTTCGTCCACCAGCACTTTCAAAAGGGCTTTGATTCTATCCAATGTTTCTTCTGTTACTATTTTCCGTAAAAGTTTCACGTCCTCATCTTCGTCATCAGTCTCTTCGCTGTCATCTCCACCCGTGAAGTAATCTAGTATTTGAGAGGCGATTGTCTGGATAATACTTCCTATGTTAGATTCTTCAGTAGGCGGTGGAACAGTACTTGGTGTCACAGGAGGTGCACTTGGGCTCGGTGGAATATTATTCTCGATTTCCTCAACAGGATATTGTGAAGCCCTTGGTTCAGACGTACCTGTAAATTTGACATCTTCATCGCGTCTTGTAGTTGAAAGCTTCAGCCATTCAGTGAACGGAACGTCGTCAGTTACGATGGGGCTGTCGATCAGTTCGTTCTGGTCATAAAACGGGTCCTCGACTACATCGTCGGAATAAGCGGATTGACTGCAAACTACTTCGGCTGGCCAATTACAAACGTTTATTCTCTCGTCAAAATGTAGACCCGCGGGACATGTAATCACGTGAGGAATTCCATTGGAGCACATGTAAAATTTTGAGCAGTCATGCTCGTGAGGAACATAGACTTTTGAACCGTCGCAAATGTTGTAGGTGTTTGGTAGAATCTTCGTTCCTGTTGGTACAGTTTTAGAGAGTACAATTTTTTAGTCTTTTATATTCATTTGTTTTCGAATAGGGCATAGATACTATACATGCACTATGTCTAATCAGTATTTCAGAATTATTGAAAGATAACATTTGGAGAAGACGTGATCAACATCATTAAAGACAGTACAACTGTAGGGATAGATATACAAGGGGATAAAGATTAGTATGTTTAAATTTGCAAATGAAATAGCAGTGTTGTTGTCTTCTAGCAAGGAGGAGTTAGAGATAGCTTTAAATAAAATAGAAGCGGTATTGACGAAAGAAAAAGTGGGGAAAGAGCGAATATAAAGAAATGAGAGACGAAAAATTAGAATAAGTGGTTGATTTTAGGTATGTAGGAAGTCAGATAAGTCAGGACGGAAGGAGTGGTAAGGATATAACGCAGAGGTTAGCGCAGGGTAGAGCCGACTTCAATAAAAAGAAGTTACTATGCTCGCGAATGGTTAATTTAGACATTCGAATAAGATTGTTAAAAGTGTATGTTTGGAGCACGGCAATGTACAGATGCGAAACATGGACATAAGTAAGGGTTAGAAGCGTTTGAAATGTGGTGTAACAGGCGAATGATGAGGATACCGTGGGTAGAAAAGGTTAGAAATGAAGAGGTATTGGAAAGAATAGGAGAACAGAGGACTCTATGGAAGTCAATAAGAAATAGGCGAGATAGGTTGGTAGGACACCTTTTCAGGAATGAAGGTCTAGTCAGAGACATATTGGAGACAGAAACATAAGTTAGGAGGAGTAGAGGTAGACCTAGATAAGATTACTGTTCGCAAATAGTTAAAGATGTGGGCTGTTCTAGTTTTAGGGAAATGTGAAGTTTAGCTCAGGATAGGAAAGAGTGGAGGTACGTGTCCAACTAGTCTTAGGGTTGACGACCTTATGATGATGATGATGAATATGATGATGTACATCTTCAATTCTAAAGTGTCCACTTGGGTTAGTAGAACATTAAAGTTAAACCAGAGTATGAGCAATAGTTTTGTTTTAAAGAACCAAAGAATAATAAAAATTATTACCATAATTCGTATTTTGACATTGAACCTTGTGAGGATAATCGCATACTTTTAATTCTGGATTAAAATGTAACGTTGGTGGACAAGACATTGGCACTTTTTTCCCATGCGTGCAAATGTAAAATTTTCCACAATTGTTCGGATCTGGTAGTAACACAGTTTGACCGTTTACATCTGATGGTGGACATTCTGAAAAAACAATAGTGTGTTTTGTTACCTGTCGTGGTAAAACAATAATTAAGAATTATTTTATTATGATTTAATGTAAGAAGAAGAAGCGTAAGAAATCTCTAGTTGTTTGTAAATTTTGATATATAGATACCTTTGATTGGGCAATCTACATTGTGTGGATAAACGCACACTTGAACTTTCGGATTAAAAAACAGTCCTTCAGGACAAGTTCTAGGGATTTTTCGTCCATGAGCGCACGCAAAATATCGTTGGCAATCGTTCTCGTCCGGCAATAAGGTGGCGCTGCTTGTTAAGTCTGATGGACATTCTAAAATAAAAGACGTATAGAAAATACCACAAATGGCGCGGTAAACGCCATCTCTAGTACGATGCTACATTTTAGGATTAGGTATGCTCCAACAAGGTCCATTTAAATATATGGATATCTACTTGCTGAAACGAATTCCCGGCGTAGCCAACCTCAACGTGATAGGCACGTTACCATAATCGAATAAAATAATTCGAAGTGGTCTGTATTCTGTCGAAACTGCCGAAACTGGATCTCATCAGCGCGTCGCAGACAGCTCCGACAGAACACAGACCAACCTTTACCTGCTGTCTTAACAGTGCGTTTTAGAAAATACCACAAATGGCGCGGTAAACGCCATCTGTAGTACGATGCTAAAGACGTATAGTTGGAACGTTCAAAATTGGCATAGTCCACAATAAAACTGTCACATTTACTTTCTTCTTTCAACTTTCTAACTAAACTAGAGCGGTTGCTGACAAAACTCCTACTTTTACTCACGACAGACGTTGTAGGGAATGTCGTAAACATAGAAAAGAGATATGTAAAGTAATAAAGAAAAAGGAATAACATTACACCTACTGATGTGTAACAGAAAGAGATGCGGACAAGCAGAATTTAAACACGTTGCCAGCATCGGTCTTTAAAGAAAGTTCAACATTTTAAGAAAATTAGGAAGGCAAAGACACTTGTTTAACCGCTGCACTGTTTACTATTATTCGGGTTTCTATTTTTATTTTGTCTGTACTTCTTATAAAGCATTTCCTAACTGAACAAGAGCGTATTCAAATGATTACAGTCCCAAGTAGAAACAAGAAAGAAGATGCGTCCATTCTCACAGATAATTTATTGCGAACTTTGCCAATTTTGACCGTCCCAACCATAATTATTACTCTTCAGTAGACTTCCTTTGTCTGTGTTCCCTGAATTTATACCTAACTCACCTGACGTATTGTTACCATACATCCACCAGAAGCAGTGGGTTGATGATAGTGTTGTCCAAAGAAAAATAACTAAAAAAATAAATATAGTAGTTGTTGTGATTGTCGTAAATATTTGATGGGTGTTTTTTTTTTAATTTCATGCGGAAAACTGATGATTTAAATGAGCGCATCGAACAGACATCGACGGGCAAAGGAAGTTAAATAAAAGATTATTAAAAGTACTTACTCTGAAACAAAAGTGTCATCTTCATTCTACTATAGTTTACCCTTTATGTACACTTCACGCCTTCATGTCACTTAATTAAGTCCATTGTTGACTTGGTTAACTTTATACCTTTTCTTCGGCATCTTATCATAATGTAAACGACCTGATAGTTGATGGAATGTCATCAACGGTTACCACTTTTAGGCGGCGCCCAATCGTATATAGCCGTAGGTGTTCACTTCCTCATTCAGGAATTTTTCTAATAAATGTAATATGTTTAACGTATAAGAGCCAATTAAAAAATCGTGAAGAACTTGATGACTCAAGATTAGGCTATAAAAGATTAATATTATTATCGTTTATTATAGACCTTTCAAGAGAGAACAACTAATAATTTAATAGTAAATAACTCTTTCGTTTAGGAAATTGCGTTCTGCTCTTTATTAACTCGACGCCGTTGTGACCCGTACGTGTTGTAATTGTGGGTATTTTTAAATTTTGAAATTATGCACCAATAATAGTTATCTTACTACCAGAGATTATTTTATTTTATTTATTCGTTATTTACCATATGAAGTTAAAAGAGGTTAATTTGACCCAATTACTGATCTGATTATGATGACGATAAAGGCGTGTAAAGACTTATTTCAACATCATAAATTTTATTTCTTTTATGTCTTTGAAATCTCGATTTAAGTAAAAATCCTAATATTTATGTTATAAAGGCGCTAGGAATATGCCCTTGTTTTTAAAATATAAAAAAAAATATATCTTTTCAGTTGTTGGTTACGATTGTTTTTAAACAATACGGTCATGTGGTATACAAAAAAATTATTTATTTAAGAAGTCAATTTACAGAAATTACTGTAGTCTGTAGTAAGTCTTGAGAAAATCCTATCTGAGGGCGAAACGTTGGGAGATTGTATATACAAGCAGCTTTTGATCTGAACGAAAATAAAGAATAGTTATCTAAGAATGTTTTTACTTGCTGATAAATAATTGTTGTCTCCTGCAGAGTTTAAGAAAACCCCCTGGACTCTCTTTTTCTCTACATAATTTTAATTTAATGTTTTTATAAATAGGGTAGGTACAGTCGGATTGCTTTTTACTAATCCTTTAAAATAAGATCTTCTATGGGCCTCAGTTTTTCTGGAGTCCACTTTATTTTGTTTTAATTATCTCATTAGTTAATATTTTTGTAAATATTGTAGCGAGCACGAATGTGTTTGTGTGCGATCGGGCACACGTGTGCGTGAACGGTTTATCGATTCGCCGAGTAGCCGCGGGCTCCTGTCTTCATGTGCGCCATATTTGCAAATGTTTGTGTCGTACCTGCCTTCTGGGAAAGCAATTAAACAGTTCAATGAAAAAATAAACTCTCCGGATGTATTCAGAAGGTTCCAGAAAGTAAACAAAAGAGCATTTAAAGGAAGAGACGATCGCCGAGAGGAGGAGAAATAAATTGACCGTTGCAAAAGTTAATCCAGAAATAAATTGACAGTGATAGAAGTGAAATTAATAGCGCGGTGAATAGTGATACATCAACAGTAGTGTAAATAAATAGAACAATTCATAACCTAAGTTTAATAGTGTTTTTAAGTTCTTTAATAATTAGTATAAATAAATAGTTTGAGTTGTTACCAGTTTTAGAAGTTAATTTTGTTAAACCCCCCAATATTTCAATATGACAATCATGTTTTGAACATGGCTCAGTACAGGTGCGAAACATGGACGTTGGACGCGACAAAAAGAAAAGGTTAGAAGCTTTTGGAGTGTCTAGATAGAGATGGTTAGAAATGATGAGGTATTAGAATAAGCAAGAGAACAGAAAGCGCTCTGGAAGTCGAAATAGGTTGGTAGGACATCTGAGACATAAAGGGTTAGTTAGAGTCATATTAGAACGAGAAAGGGGAGTTAGGTTGAGCAGAAATAGAACTAGATAAGATTGTTGTTCACAATAATTAAGGATGTGGGGTGTTCTAGTTTTAGAGAAATGAGTTCAATTTTTACCTTTTAACAATAGAAAGAATTTGTATCGCTCAAATAAGTTATTTATTGAATTTATTTACATAACGTTAGTACGAAAACTTAGCCTACCAATAAAACTAAAATATCAAATGCAATCAAAAGTCGAAGTCGTCCTTGAATTCCATCGACCGGCTGCTGGGTTCCGTTTTATGGTACAGTCTTTTAATCGGTAATGTTGGCTTCTTGGCCACGGCACGGACCGTACTGGACAAGTACTTTCCAACTATTGCGAACATGTGTTTCACCTTCTCATCTTCTCCCGCTTTCTTCCCCCTTTCGATTTGCATTGGTTCGGTGGTGGTGGAAACTAAAGACTTGTTCCTCGAAGATTCCGTTTCTGTGGCATCGAGATCATGAACGGTCGACGGAATCTCGGAGAATTTTATGGGAAACGCGGGGGTGACATCCGCCTGGATAAAGGGAGCTGGAGATGTCGACGCTACCCTCGACAACTGTTGGACCACCGTTGGAATTGTAGAAAACAAGTTTTTAAGAGTAGCTATATCGGACATCATCGATGGCACCGGTGGTTGTTCGAATGGATTCTTCGCGTACGACATCGACATGTCTTCATCGTGATTATCAGTTGATAAGGAGCGAGCAAAAGAAAGATAATTTCGAAAATTGGAGAAGAGGTCGTTTATGTTTTTGTTGTTGATTAAGATTTGTTGTGGGGAAGGTGTGACTGGTACCGCATTGGGCTTCTTTTGACTATTTACAACAGGCACGGGAGTGGACGACATCATTGGAGCAAGTGCTAGGACAATAGACTTAGGGGCTGCCGTTTTCACTTGTTGCTTTACTGGATTTGGAGTTTGGATTTCTTGCATTTGGTGTTGGCGCGGTGTTTGTGCTACTTGCGTTTTCTGCTGCGTCTTTTGATCTGTCTCACGCATAGAAGAAGGAATTGCAGCATCCTGTTTCGTTTTAGCAACTGTGTCCGACGAAGGCTTCTGATGATTCTCCGATTTGGCAGCAAACCTTTGCACGACATCTACTTCTGAAACGGACTTTTGTGGCTTCTGAAAATCTACGGAATCATTTCCAACATCAGTCTGGATGGTGTTGAGATGGTTATTCGAAAGAAACTTGTCGAAATGCGATAACAATTGGTTAACAGCAACGTCATCCATGTTAGGAGGGGTTGCTTTCGGTTGAGAAGGTGTCGGGGACGTCTGTATTGGTACTGTTTGGGTTACAGGAACTGTGGGTCTCTTGAATTTTACAAACCCTGCATGGGTACGAATCAGAAATCTTTCAAAATCATGAAGTAAAGAATCCATTGCTTTGTCATTGATAGGTGAAGACGTCGGAGGCTTTGAGGTGCTAGTAGGGACTGGTGCTTGAGTTTTAGATGGTTTCATACCAGCAGTTTGTCCTTGCGAAGCAATTTTTATAATAGGAAACGAATGTTTTAAGTACGGGGCCGGATTGTCAACAGCGGAAGAGTTCATCAGATACTTCTGGAATCCGGACAAGAGATTGTCCAGCATATCTTCGTCTATACTGATTTCCGATGATTGTGGCAAGGTTTTCCACGCTTGTGATGACGCCTTTGTTGTTACTGAAGCCGGCGTAGATGGATTTACTGGTTTTAAATCTGTGGTCGTTAAATAGTTTTCGAATTTGTTAAGCATTTCCTCTACAGTCTTGTTGTCCACTTTCGGTTCCTGCTTGACAATTTCAGATTTTTGTGGTGCCTCGTTTTTGACATTTGCCGCCGCAATCGCGTTAGTAACAGAGGAGCCCACCGTTATTACAGTGGTGCCTGGCCTTCGTAAGAACGTTTCGAAATCTCTAAGAAGCAACTTTAGGGCAGGATTGTTAATGTTTACCCCTTCTGTCGTCATTTGGTTTTCCGACGATGGATGGGGTGTGGTCGAAACGGATGCTAAGGTCGACACCAGTGGCTCGTTGGGAGGAGTGACTTCTTCAGATCCCATTCTGTTATCTGTTAATGAACCGTTGCCGTATTTGTCACTGATTAACGACGAATTGGCTTGTATAACCAATGATAGCTCTTCAGTTGTTGTGGTATTTCCCACTTTGTCATTCTCAAACATTTTTTCTAATACGTTTAAGGATTTTACATTTCCGAAAGGACTTTCAGATGCTAAACTGTTTGTGTTTCTTGAAGAAGTGTCACTTTCTGGAGGAGTACTGTGTTCGTATCCTAATACGTTTTCGGTGCTGTTAACTGCAGATGTATCTTGATTGGTGACGTTTGCGACAATGTTTGCGCCTGTTTCATTGGCCAATGGCTTTTGTGAGTTCATTAGCCATGCTGGTGGTGAAGTTAGACGTGCAAAATCTTGAAGATTAGCTTTATTTTGCCAGTAGTCCCTCTCCACTAAACTTTCCTTGCTGTTCTCGCATTCTTCGCTTGATTCTTCTGATGATTCTTCGGAACTCTCCTCTGACGATTGCTTCCTTTTGTAGGCCAAAACGATAGTTTGAGGCGGTGATTGTTTTCCGGATTTATCATTGGTAGTATTGGACGTCAGTGATCCTTTTAGTGTAGCGTTGGTGCCGTCCACCAGCAAAGCCGTTTGTTCAGTGGTTGTTATCACACCCATTGATGTGATTTTACCGACAAAAGTGAAATTTGACAAATTTGTAACGTTACCTGCTGCACCTGAATTCAAGTTATGTTCCTCTAGAACTTCGCCCGAAGTAACTGCTTCCAACATTGGTGTTACAGATGAAGTTTCTATATTTCCGATTATTTCTTTTAGATTTTTGTTTGTGTCGGAATTGGGAGATTCCGTTACTTCCGCAGATGGCGCAGCGCTTGATTTCATCAGTGGAGCTATGGTTGTTTCCATAAGCGGCGCTCCAGTTTCATCTGTACTCAAAGCTTCAGTATTAAGAATACTTGTCGATTCGATAAATGGTTCAGCACTTGTTCCTCTTTGAGTAACTTCGGTTGATTCCGTAGGTGATTCGGTATTTAATTCCATCAAAGGAGCCGTGGACGATGTAGGTGTTTCGTCATCAAAGCTGAAGTTATCGTCCTCATTTTCGTTTTCCTCATCGTCATTTGTTTCTATATCTTCATCTCCCCAGCTCATGAGATCGAAGTTCTCGTTTTTCTTATTTTCTGAAGAATCATCCGGCATTTTGAATTCTTCCGCGTCAATGCTGAAATCAAAGTCGTCAGCCACTTCAAGACCTGAAGGGAATGCAAACGAATATTCTTGTGTAGTTGTTGAAATAAGTTGAACTGGTTCCTCAGTTGTACTTGAGTACAATTTTTCCATGGTGGTGACGGCAGGGGTTGTGCTTACTACCTCTCCCATCAGTGACTGTTTTTCAGTAGTTGTTACCATTTGTTGCCTCGTCGCGTTGGCAACAGTAGAAGGAAGTTCTGTTGTCATCTGATCTTTGTTGGCATGCGTGCTTTCTTTGTTTTCATGATGTGATTTGTCGTTATCGCTTTCTTTGGCGTGTTCCTTATTGTTGGTACGTTCTCTACTACTAGTGTTTTCCTTGCTGTTAGTTTGCTCCTTGCTCGTATGTTCACCACTGTTATGTTGCTCTTTACTGTTGAACCGTTCCCTGCTATTGGGAGTTCTGTTACGTCCATTACCACCATCAATAAGTTCTTTACTATTGGTGCTTTCTTTGTTACTGATGGCGTTTGCTTTTGAATTGTCTACAATGAGAACAATTTGTTCTTTAGCCTCCTCAGATGCATCTGTCGATTTACTTTTTCCTTTTCTATTTTTTTGAGTTGGCTTCATAGTAGTATGCTGTCTAGATTTGGTTTTGCGTTTTGATGTTTTCTCACTTGGCTGATACTCCCCAATGACGTGAATATGAAAGTCAAAATCTTCGTCCGGGAACGAATAATGTAGGTAACCCGTTGCGTCTTTCTTGCTTACAGGTGTTCCTGATGATAATTGTTCTGCATTTATATTCAATTTTTTTGCCTTATCTTTGCAAGGTTTCTGTTTCTGTTTCTCAGTTCGGTTTGCATTAGAAAACTTTTTAGATTTGCCATCATCTTCGTATTCCTCGTCCGCGTTTGCTCCAGATGGATCTGAATATTCATTTTCATCTTGAGCTTTCTTGGCTGCAACTACTGCAGCCGTAGATGTTGGCGTTTCTGTCGTGGACGACTGTCTTTCGACTTCTAAACTCTCGGTGGTTTGTTGGATCTCAGCTGTGCTTTGTTTTTGCGTATTCTGTTCGAAAGAGTTCTGTAATTCGAAGGAGTGGCCACGGATTTCGAAATCTTTGTCATCATTTAGTGTGAAAGGGAAGTAATCTCGAGATCTTGTGACACTTTGGGTGACGGGGGTTGTTGATGAAATTTGCGGGAGTGCTGAGGTGAATGGTGTTGTTGGCGTTGTCACTTGTTTTTCAGGTGATGGTCTTTGTTGGAAGCCCTGAGGTGTTGGGGCATTTGTACGGATTTGGGGTTTTTCGTTGTTGTTTGTTCTTGTGTCAGGCTTGGTGGCTAAATACTGCGTAATAATGGTGATGTTGGTTTTAGATATAGCTGCAGCAGGGGTCGGTAAGGGTCGTATTGCTGTTAGTGGTGGTGTCGGTGGGGTTGCTGGAACTTCTTGTAGCCCTAGTCTAGAAGGGGTCGTTTGAACCTGATCCTGCTTTCCTTTGGACGATTTGTGGCGATCGCCCTTCGATTTCTTTGTGAATATTTTCTCACTTTCGTCTTCGAATCCAAACATGTGCTTTTCAAAGTCTTCGTCGAATTTCGAGGGATAATAGTAATGATCGTTGGAGTGTTTCTTGGGTGATTTAGATTTGCCCTTGGATTTCGCTTTCATCGAAGATGAATTTTTTCGAGGTGATTGACTTGTATGAATATCTCCCGATGTGTCAGATGTTTGATATTGTTTTGATTTCTTTTTACCCTTTGATTTCTTTTCGCCTGGCATGTAAAAGTCTTTTCCATGGAAGTTAAACTCTTCATCTGCGTTCCAATATGAATAGTCAGAGGGCTTCTTTTTCTTTTTGGGAGCAGTCGACTTAGGTGGAGACGGTTTTGGAGTCACGGCTTTTTGTGATTGACTTGGATATGTCACGGAGTTGATATTATTCTTTTGCGGTTCTTCCCATTGTTTTTGTTGTTGTGGTTGAGAAAATGTGAAAGAGTTTTGCGGTCTAACAGGAATTTGGGGGTTCTGCGGCCCAACAGGAACTTGGAGGTTCTGCGGCATTCTCCTTTCAGGTATGATGGAGATGGACGGCGGGGGAACTGGTCCAGGCAGAATTTGGGTCTGTGGAACATTCGTTGGTGGTAATGTAAACTCCTTGGTATACCTTAGATTATTGTCTAATTCTCTCTCGAGTGATTCTGGAGAAGGATATTTTGGGGCCGAAAAATCTGAAAGAAGAGATACCGTAAAAGTTAGCTGAGCATCGTTAAGGGAATTTGATGTCATGTGATGGCAAGATGGAGACCAAGTAATTCCTCAACCTTGGATGGGTGTTTTTTGAACTTGATTGTATATTTCTTAGTGTATGCTTTAGCTTTAGTGAATTGGATGACCTAGAATGTTAATGTCAGAATTTGTTTTATTACCTTTTCGACAATCGATGTTTCCTGCCATATCGCATCTCTGATTTGCACGATTGAAGTAACTCATTCCAGGGCATTTAAACAAGTATCGTTCTCCCAATGGACCGCAGTAATAAAACTTGCTGCAGTCTAAAGGGTCTGCTATCAACGTGTTCGGTAATGAGCATGCTATTTTATCCCATACTTCAACTGAAACAAGTTAAAACTATGTTTAGCAGGGAGATAGAAATTGAAAGCCACAATTAAAGTCATAACAGTTCAAGTCAGATGAAAACAACCCTTTTTGATTTGTGTAAAAAAACACAAAATTGTAATGGAAATGGGGAAAATATTGCATAGCATAGAATGCATTTGAAATCTCATAAAAGAGTGAACAGTGAACAAGGTCCAAAGATTCCTTGAAGGATGCTTATATTTAAACCTATAAGTTAGTCTGAATTTTTTCTAATTTAAAACAAATTCTCCTGGGGAGTTATTCAGATACATTTCCACATTATTTCTGGTATTAAATCGTAAACAAAGAAATAAGAGTGAATTTACTTACGGGGACTTGTTGAAATGAAATGTATTCGTAAGTAGATGGCGGTAACAAGAAGCAATATGGAGTCTGAAAAAAACAAGAAATAAAAGTTAATTAATAACGATTTTATGGACAATTAATTATTATTTAAGGTGTTGTGCAACCGTTTATATTTCTTATTTCTGTTACTAAATTATACGTGACGTATAATGGGATTGTAATTACTGAATTTCTTGTTATTATTATTAAACGGTAGTCTATTATTTTTGTTTATTTAATGTCTTACACTAACAGTAAGTTTATGTTGGTTTCTTGATTAATTGAATCAATTATTATTTAATTTAGTTTTGTTATCATAGGTCTGTGAAATGTTTGAAAAGTATGTTTCAAGCCATACTTCCGTTGTTCCCTTACCATTCTTGTCACTTCCTGTTTAAAGTCATTACAATATTTTCTAGTAATTGTTATGATTAGCGAGATAGTCAGTTCTAACTTTCATTGGAAATTTACGAATGTTGTTATCGATTGTTGTTAATAGTTTTTTTTATGTTTTATTGCTCTTATATGATCGTTACAGTAAATAGTTACCAATCTTTCTTTTGAAACTAAATCGTTTTGTGGACTGTATTTCTAACTAGTCTCTTTTTGTGTTTACTTTTTTTTAATCGAATCACATTAAAATGGCTATTCAAAGGAACGCAACCACCTGTCGGTATGTTTTCTATGTAGCTTCTTTTTTGTCGGACTTTAGAAGAGAGTCGCGGCGAAAAAAATAATGGGTTACATGTTAAATCAACCAACAACCATGTCACTCTACTCGCCCATCGGTCGGTTGCACCATTAAAAATCGAAAAACAAAGAATCGAAGACGTATTGTTCTGCAACACTAGATTCTTATTATTATCTTGTAATCTTAAATTAATCTGTGTTCTTATAGATTTAGCAGACATTCTGTATCAAATTCGCCATTTCGTTGTACTATAAGTTTGGTTAGGTGTTCCTAGGTTTTATAGTGGTAAAGTTGAAAGTGTAGATAAACATTCGTTAGTCGTTAAAGTACTACGTAATGGCGAATTTCACATAGAATGACTGCTAAATTTATAAAAACATTAGGAAAAGGTTAGAAGCGTTCGAAATGTGGTGTTACAGGCGAATTATGAGGATAACATGAAAAGAGAAGGTTAGAAATGAAGAGGTATTAGAATGAATAGGAGAACAGAGTACTTTATGGAAGTCAATAAGAAATAGGCGAGATAGGTTGGTACGACACCTTCTCAGGCATGAAGGTCTAGTCAGAGACATATTAGAGGCAGAAAAGGGAGTTAGGAGGGATAGAGGTAGACTTAGGTTAGATTACTGTTCGTAAATAGGTAAGGATGTGGGTTGTTTTAGTTTTAGGGAAATGCGAGATTAGCTCAGGATAGGAAAGAGTGGAGGTACGTGTCCAACCAGTCTTAGGACTGATGACCTTATGATGATGAATATTCTTGTATTTTAGAACACGCCTTTAAGAAGCGCTATTACCAGACAGTTTGAATGCATCCACAAATAGATAAAATAGTATGAACAGTCAAGAACTTTGGAAACTGTGTATTTATAATTACGTGCATTTATAAAGTACTAGCGACCCGCCCCAGCTTCGCACGGGTGCAATGCTGATACTAAATATGTATATTCTTGTTTTGTTTAGATTATTATCGAGAAGGGGAAAAAGATACCCCCTGAACATACTAAATATACTACAGAATGTCTTTATATACAACATTCACAGTTTTTTTGTCATTAGACAATACAAACCGGCCTCCCGGCCGGCCGGTACCGCCGCAACCGCTATGTCCCTGCATTTTAAATCTGTAATATCTTCGAAAATATTCATTTAAATTACATGCTGTAAAGGG